TCATTAGATCAAGAAAAAACGTAAATAAATATAATAATAATAATAATAATGACACATTTATTAATGAATTCGATCAAGCGTAGATAAATTACCGTGAATTATTATTTCATTATTACAATAAAGAATAAGAATGTATTCTTTGTTAAATTTTAAAATAGAAAATAAAAGATTCAGGGCTATAATCACGGTATTTTTCTATTTGAAAAAAAAGTATATCTTGAGTTGATACGGTTCAATAATGTTCTTGTTCGATATGAATTAGTTTAGATAATTTTTCCTGGGGCTGCGAATTTAATGTTTATCAGTTGTTGACTAGGTAACCGAAAGGTTAATATGATAAAGTGGGAAACTATTCGTTATGAGATCTTTCAATTCACTATTATATATATACACACAGATTTTTTTAGTTAGTACTTCATTACTGATTTACACGAATGTAAAGAGAATTTATATTTATATAGTTAACATCTTGGACTGATTTTTGTTGAATAAGCATTTAAAACTATGAAGCACTGGACATGGGTTTAGAAATCCTTAGTAGTGAAGATTCCATCACTAATATCTTCAGCTTCACATGTGAACGCTTAACTTCTATACCACTGAACTAGCATGTAACAGTTCACATGATCTAACTTCAATCAATTAGTAATATCGTTTAACCATCTTTCAATGTGTTTGATGATTAAATGCCTTACATTCGGCATGATTGAACTCCACTGATGATCACATTATTAAGTATAAGATTTATAAAGACAAATGTAAATATATATGTGGGATTATTGTAAATAAACAGGGTTAAAGAAGAGGCTGAACAAGCATTTTTTTATATGCGAAAGTTTAGGTGGATTCTGACACATTTTTCTGAGGTGAAATTTAGAAGGATATGGAAGTATGGATGGAATTCCACAAATAACCTTGATCTGGTGATCAGTTACAAATAAATGTGAAAGAAAAGTACTTTTTATTGATCACAACTAGTGATATTTAACAATGAGTTAATAAACTTACATAGTTTTAAACCTAAATTGAACTATCACTGCTAAAATAAGGGAATCCGTGTATACAGTAAGAGAGAGATAAAAATTAACAGCTTATCTTTATTACATTAATTCACTATCAATGGAATGAAAAATGAACAACACATTCTTATTGAGTTGAATGCTCTTTTAAAAGCATTGGTTTCAAAATTCTTTTTAAAAATATTCAATATCAAGTAACTGGATATGATTATGGCTGTATACAATGGATATACAATTATCATATAGGATTGAAGTAGACTCACATGTAGACAATGTAACACATTTAACTATCTATTTGTTTTCATAAAAATAAATTAATGAGAATTGTATGTACAAATGAAAAAATATTTTCATTGTTTGAATCACAAGCTAACCTTAGTTAAGTAACTAGTTAGACCAAAAAATACTGAACGGCCATTTCGATTTCGTATGAAACTATTCAGTAGTACGCAGCCAAGACCCTGCTAGGGATCAAACACAAAATCTTTGGTCTCCACAAACCCCCCATACTAGTCAAGATATATTTATTAGAATCATGATGAATAAAATTGAGTGATTCCGAAGAATGAATCAGACTGTCTAGCAAAACTCGCGCGCGAACGCCTAACCTCTAGACCACCGAATCGGTGTTAGTGTCTAACCCTAACCAATCTACGAAGCTGTGCGACCATCTTCCATTGTTTTTATAAAGGAGTGGAATTAGTTGACAAACCAGTTTTAATGCAAAATAATGACGAGTTTAACAGGATTTGTATAGTAGACTACAAAGTTATTTATTTGAAGCTTTACTAGTGAATTGTTCAAAGATTCCTCGTATTCATCAAGTTAGCGACTAAAATCTTCATGCATATTAATAATAGTAATAATTCTTCAGCATTTATTTCCTTCATTGTACTTGTCGATAAAACATTTATATGGTTCACTGATCATCATTAGTAACATCTTGAGGATTTTACCTTTTACTACATACGTTTTTTTAGGCTAAAATCATCATCCAACCATACAAGTGTATGAAATGTCAGTGGGGTACATTATATATATATATATATATATATATATATATATATATATATATATATATATATATATGAATCGAATCATTACATCATCATCTAAACAATCATTTTCAATTGTAATGATTCGATTCACTTACTTTTAATTTTTACTTCTTCAATTGTTCATTCATTCTAATGGTTATCCTTGTTAATTTAACCTTAAATAAATGATCAATTAATTTACTTTATTTATTTATTTTTAAAAAAACTAAGGCGCTAAATTAGAAAAGTGAGAATAATTATCTGATCAATTTCTAACTCATGCGTGTTAAAGTATCATTAATTAAAAAAAGTATGAATCGTCAAGTGGGTGAGAAAGTGAGCATAAAAATTGTCCAATATGAAAAGTTAGTAGAATACAATAGCAAGAGAATAATGGTTAAATAAAGAGTAACAACATGTAAACCTAAGTACATCTATATATATTCTTTTGGTGAAACGATTTGTATTAGTTACATTGTTTCTGTTTTTGTTTTATTTTTGCTTTATTGATTGTTCAGTTGATCTATTGTATATAACACTTTATCCATGTTATTCTAAACAAGATGTTTACCTACTACTCAATGTTGATTTGATCACTGTTGAATAAGCATAACGTCTTTACTGAACTGTTTATTCATGCAATTAATTGAGAAAAAAATTGATGAGGAATTCTGTTTTTATGAAGAATTAGTTTGAAATGTTACATAAATGTAACACAAATTTTGTCAACAGACGATTAATAATCTAATCAACGATAGATAGTGGATAGCAGTGGAATCCAGGACGCGAGTTTTGTCCTATTCGTACCTGTATCTCAGAGTTGATGTTCACTCAGGGACTCGAACTCAGAACTGTTGGGTCCTGATATCCACTTGCTTGTAAAATGGGGTGAAGTTTAAATTCACTTGGTATTATTTACTTGAATCTTCCCATTTCGTCCCAAATAGGATAAAACACGCGTCCTGAATTCCACTGCTAGCCACTATCCATCTTTGCCTATGATACTTGTGAATAAAGGCAATATCGAGGCAATACGCATAGTATGCACATATGCCAATAAGAGACTGATCAGTTGCAATCCTAAACATCAATGGGAAGATTCAGGTAAACAATACTAGGTGGATTAATAATCTAGATTGTACCATTTATCAGTAATTTACTTGATTTGGTCACCTATAGATTCAAACAACTTTTATATAATTAATGACTATTCTTAATGAGATTTACAATAGCGTATAAAATTTTAAAGATGATCAACATTGTAAATTACTTTTATTTGGAGAACTTCTGAAAAAGATTTATTAAATTACATAGAAGTCATTCATTGTTAGTTCAAAAATTCTTACTATTTCACTCTCACCAATCTAGACAGGAATTATTAGTTCTTAATAAACGTTGTTCTTACACTAAGCAAGGAGTTAATAGATAATGAAAAAAAACATGACCAAACCATCCAGCTCAGAGAACAAAACCCTATCAGAATCATCCACCTGAGCTACAAATCTTCACCACCGTCTTAAGATGAAATATGTTTTCCTTTTTTTTCTTTGACAAAGGTATGATGATGCCACAGGTATTTGTATTTTGACAACACTTTAACCAGTAACATCTATAATTGTGTTGTGTCCACTCAGTGAAATCAAAAGTCAGAAAAGAGGAGGTTCGAAGATATATTTGATAGCTTATCAATATATCGAGAATTGACTGATCTAAACTTGCTAGTGATTTCAGGAGAAGTTGAGCACAACGTTCCCACTCGTGATCTGGTGCGGATGCGTAACCAAGCCCCTTCATCTAGGTGAGTCCATTAAAACTAGTGTGGTCAGCATCCAATGTCGAAGACTTACAGAGCTATTGATTTTGGAGACTTATTTACCGTTACAGATACATTTCACCAAAGTTTTTTAAAAATTTTATTTCTCCACATTTATACTACTGTTTTGTCAATTGAATGATGATCATCTAACTAATATCGAATAGATGAAAAAATGCATTAGAAAACTTTAGTGTTGTCAGTGTTGCCATCAAGTGTAAAAGTAATGTTTTATGGAGCATTTATGTGTTACTAATAGACTTCTAAAATACTTTCAAGTATGTCATAGTATATAATATTCAAATGAATAAATAAATATAGTCCTTAAAGATTTTATTATGTATGGGTTGTTCAACAGTTTTAATCTTTACCATTGAATAGCAATAAATCAACTTTCTAAATAGCTATTAAAATAGGGAATTTATGGAAAACAGGGTAAATAGCGTAACTGTAAATATTATTAATCTGAAATAAAAGAGGCATTTGAAAAGTAATCAAGAAATCTAGGTAGGGATAACATTTGTAATAATAATATGGAGTAAAGTAGAACCCTTCTCATAAACAATGGAGTAAACTATGGTAAGAAAATAAAACGGACAAGTAAAAAAAGACTAAATCAAGGTCATGGTAAGGAGAAGGATCAAACAAAGTGCTTTTGACATACAACTATGGTTGTAAGTTATGGATGTCTAAGTTGTCTGTAATTCAAAGTTGATATCCTTGATTGGACGTTGTAAGTAATGTTGAATGTTACATCCGAAACTGAATTCCTTGTGTCTATTTAATATTATAAGACAGATAACATAGTTAAATTCCATTTTTTCCTGAAAACCTACATTGATGTATAATAGCTCATAATTAATAACGAGGTATGCCATACTCATACTATTGTCTATACTGAGAAGTTTATGAATAATATTATTATTTTGTATTATGTTCTACGTTCTCATTAATTGAATGATACCCAGAGTCAAATGGATTTTATACAGCGAAATATTGGTTGACGGGAAACTTTGTGGATTTGAAAATGATTTCATTTAGCCGTTGAAAGACTTCCATCAGTCGATATTTTCTTAATCTACGTGAAATAGCTACTCATATTATTTGTAAGTAGATTGATTTTTCTATTGAATGTCATATTATTACGATGTTATAAAATTAATGACACCTACTACTACTACTACTACTACTACTACTACTACTACTACTACTACTACTACTACTACTACTACTACTACTACTACTACTACTACTACTACTACTACTACTACTACTACTACTACTACTACTACTACTACTACTACTACTACTACTACTACTACTACTACTACTACTACTACTACTACTACTACTACTACTACTACTACTACTACTACTACTACTACTACTACTACTACTACTACTACTACTACTACTACTACTACTACTACTACTACTACTACTACTACTACTACTACTACTACTACTACTACTACTACTACTACTACTACTACTACTACTACTACTACTACTACTACTACTACTACTACTACTACTACTACTACTACTACTACTACTACTACTACTACTACTACTACTACTACTACTACTACTACTACTACTACTACTACTACTACTACTACTACTACTACTACTACTACTACTACTACTACTACTACTACTACTACTACTACTACTACTACTACTACTACTACTACTACTACTACTACTACTACTACTACTACTACTACTACTACTACTGCTACTAACAATAATAATAATAATAATAAGGAATCTTAAGATTGAATATCTAAAATTGCATCAAACTCCCTTTTACTATCTATTTAAAATATTGATCTTCAAAATGAGTGCAACGACGTTTTTAACGGCTGTTTGATATTATTCACATTGACTCTTAAGCGTTTCTACTTAGCTTTACTCTTTAACCATCTCATAATATATATTTGATGTTTGAACTTTAATGCAATTACCTCTATAAAAACTGTTCCTAAAAGAGATCACACCAAGCAAATTCATGGTTCCATTGAAATTTGAAAGCAGTTATCTTAGTGTTAAACTGTAAACATTTTGTAAAAACAACTGAATAGGTGAGATGTTGGAAAGCATCATCATTTGGTTAGAACCGATTAAAAACGGGGAAATTTTATTAAAGTATCTATAAGTTGGAGAGGGTTCCTGAAGGAAAGGGAAGATTACTTAATATTCTATCCTAATATTAAACTAAGGAAATGTATTAGAAAGGTTATTTATTTACATTGAAAATCACTTCAGTTATTGTGTTTTTTAAGTAATTTATGTAAAGGGTTTATCAGATACTGTTGTGACTTTAAGTCCGGCTAGTTATCACGTAACTTATTTGCCAATTGGAATATAACTTATGCAATCTTAGCATTGTGCCAAATTGTTGATGTTCAACTGGTATGAGCAGCCTAGCGTACTAAATGGTCCTTTATCCTCCTAGATCTCTCAGTTGAGTCTAGATTATCAATAGGAGCTACCACTATACGAATCATTTATTTAGAACATACCTGCTTTATATACAAGCCAAAGAGACCGCATCACACCATAAAATAGGAAATAACATTTGTACAGCCAAAATGTGACCGTGTACATGGGAGACTGTATTTAATAAACTGAGTATAATTTATTAATAGTAAATCCTATCGTAATAGCCTATAGGTATAAATAAACCTTATAATAAAAGGAATATAGATATACACAATCTAGTTACTGAATACTTATACACTAATATTAGTCCATTAATAGTTCACAGAAGTTACCTATAATTTAATCTTCACTAAGATACAACAGATGCATCACTTATCAGAAATTTAAACAAACACCAAAAATGGAGACTCAAATAAAGCTAAAATCTCCAAGTTATCTGATAATTCATGGAGTTCGTTATCATTTTTCTTTTAAAAAAACTACAGAGTATTGTGCAGTTATTCTGTTCTACTAAGAGACTTTAAGAGAGTGTGCACTCACAAAATATTTTGGTTGTTTAGTTAAAATTTATTACATGAACACAGCACAAATACTTGAAAATTGATCGCAATTAACCTATTAGGCATGAAGTGACTAGTTCTTTCTGATTATGTAAATGGTCATATATCGCGTTGATTTTGATTTTCCATTACAGAAATTTGGTTCATCATCATCATCATACATTTTAAATATTGCAAGTTAATTACTAAGTAGGATAATTCGTACAGTGTATATATTTTTCATTAGAATATGTATTTAACAAGTAAGTGAACAAGTAATCCTCAGTATATTTAAACAACTTTCATGTAGAGTTGGCTGACATTTTACTGATATTTAAACCATTAGAAATAAATATGAAGTGAGATAAAGTATTGAGATTAGGTTGAAAATTTCATGAATAGTGACTAATTTTATAGTACCTCCTGTTTTAGCAAAACACAATGCAATAATAGTGTCATGTCTCATGTAATAATAACAATCAACAAGTGATTAACTGTGGTCAGTTTAGAATATGGACGGTATTTGCAAGGGATTAATTCAGGTAAAATAACTGAGAATAGTCAAATCAGATCAGAAATGTATACTCAATCTTTATAGTAAAATAAATAATTCACTAACACCAATCTGATATATTTCTAAAGAAGCTTATGTATTGTAATTTCCATATATTCCATTTATCTATTATAGAAAATATCAAAATACTTGAATAAAAATGAAATTAATGTTAGATATTAATGGTAGAGTAATGAATATAAGATGAGAATTTGTTTGATTATAAATGATGAATATACCAGTAGATAAGATGAACTCAACGTATGTTAAAATAAGATAGGAATCCTTTGTATATAGATATCTGTTTTAAGTTGAAGTAATCAAAAGCATTTGTTTGACCATATTAATCTGTTTATTTCATTACTTTCTAATGTTTAACATGGGTGTGAATGACAGGTGCTGGTTTTAAGTAGAACATTTCACTAAATAATCTTTTGTGTAAATATGACATAAACAGATAAATGTTTGACATGAAATGATTCATTTCATTTTTCATAGTAAGACGTTCAAGATAAACTTAAAATAATTTATACTCAGAATTAGTTCTGGTCACTAAAATCGGGGCTTTATCTCAGGTCTGAGTCATATTTTAAAGCAGGATGTAGAATTGTAACTTTTTACCTAACTAAAAGAAAGTGAGGTATAAACAGAAGGGTTCACAGCATTTTCCTTATAAAAGTAATTGATATTATGTTAAAATCAACGTTATAAATATTTGTTTGCAAATAACAAAAAACAATTATAAGAAATTTGTTATAAAAATTTGAACTACTAACAAGTAACTGAAATAACATTACTAAAATATCTTTCGTATTTTAGTTTAGCTGACTCCAATAGAGATATGGATGGCTGAACTGGAATCCAGTGTTCTAAGGATATTGAGATATGAATGTTGTATCATGTTTCTCATGTATAATCGTGCATAAGTAATTATCAGAAGTCCAAAATATGACATATCACTTCTCTAGTGTTGATTTTTAATAGTTGACCAGATGATATCAGTTTACTATAGAAAATCTATCAAATATAAATATACTCTTGAAACTTAATTTACAGATAACTTTATTTTATTTATTTTTTGTTTTAGCACATAGATATTGGCACAAGGAGGCATCGAATACATATGCGTCACACAAATCTCATTTGATTTGTGTGAGGGCTGTGATACTGCCCGCGTGCCCAAACAGAAGCAGGTGATTTTCTTAGGGGGCCGCACCTGGAGCCTCCGACCTAAAGGTCTGATCCACATGACAGTGGGGCATCGTAAGGAGACGCACTCCTATGGTAGCCGGTGACCAGCGATTGGTTCATATGCCATTTGTTCCTTCAGGATATTGGAGCCCATGTGCTCCATTGGTTTGGAATCAGGGTTTTCCAACTCCCCTAGGTGGACTCTCCATGTCCACCAACCCGGTTAAAGCGCCGGACATTCGCCTTTCGTTCTCTTGATTTTGTAAACAACACCCTCACCACGAGAAGGTAGTGAGTAGGACTTCCCTGGCAGAGGCTAAATACGCGTGTCCATGTGAGAGCATTTCGAGAGGGCGAGCGGATTCTCCCCACTCTCGGCCGTACCAGGGCATTTGGGGTCTACAGACAACTTTAGTGATCCCTTAATCCTATTAGCAAGAGCATATGCCTCTAGATTTGGCAATTCAAATGTACTTGTTATTTGGATCAATAACAAAGTTTTCAGTGGATATTTTATCATCACATTCCTTAGTCTGTAACTAGTATAGGTTTTGTAAATAGAATCATCTCAGTATTTGCAATTTGTATTTTGCACTCTCATTACGGATAAAAAAATCTCCTGGCAAAATTACTTAAAATTATTGTTAATAAATCCTACACTCAGGCAAAACAGCTATCTAGTGTATGCTGGTTTTCAATAGCTGTTTCTCTGATGTCAGTCTGTAATGAGAAACTGTAAAATAATAAAGTGTTTAAACAACTGTAATTTGGATAATTTAATTTAGTTAAACTAGTTAAGCATGAAATTCTTAATCGCTATGATCGAGTTAGGAAAGCACGTTCAGGTGTAGTTACGAAATCACTTGTCAACTAATAGGCATTACTTACAGAGAAATTCAACAATGCAAGTACATACATAACCTATACATTTTAGTCTAATTAATAAGATAGTTTAAAAACTTCTGTTAAATGTCATCATTATTCCTAATCGTTATTTAAACCAAGACAATTTATCCATGGTTAAAAATAGTTGCATTTTAACAATCAAAAAGATTGTATGATAACAATATTTCAGTAATTAGGTTGATAGTAGATCCTTATCAAGTAGCAAGTTCATTTATTTTTCTTAAACGTTCTATACAAACTAATGTAATATTATATAATATTATATATTATATATTATATTATATATTATATAATATTATATAATGTAACATTACTTTGGAGTCTATATAGTAATAAATGATTACCACTTGTAGATATATTATTATTATTGGAAATAAATCCTATTCAGTTGATTATATTTTCTAAAAGGCCAAAATTAAATTATAGTGTATATAGTTATTGACTAAATACACATTTTTCGATAATGCAATAAGACGAAGATTATCAGAATTATGTTATATGTTAGTGCAATACATTTCGAACAATTTGATCACACATATACTTGTTAAGAGCATTTATACATAAAAATAAAAGGTCCACTAGACTGGAAATGGGGTAAGAGGATAATAATAAGATTAATAATAATGTGAACACAACTCGAGACCTAATCACTCTGGATAATAAGTCAATATTATCAGGGTAGGTTTAAGGTAAGAACAAACTATTTTTGAACACACAAAGGGGGTTTGAATTTTCGTATGGCTAAGGCTTCAATAAACCTTAGTATACGCCCTTTTACAATTTTATACAAAACTACAAAAGCCGAGTTTAGATCAATCTTATGGCCTGTTTCAATTCTATGTTTAGCAATAGACGATGATAGATGTTTATCCTCTGCTTTTATTGGGTCACTTGATTGTATTTGCTTCTGCGCCAATATATCACATAATTCTGATAATCTCCGTTTTCTTATTACATTATCGAAATTTATCAAAGGCGCTCAACTATTGTGAAACTATTCGTTCAAATTTAGACGAAAGTTCTTATTTAAAGGGACTAATTGCTTTAAATACACATTTTTTAAAAAATCGACTGTCATTTTAAGTAAATCTTATTGCTATTACAATGTTGTCACTAATTTAATTCACTTGAGTATAACTAGC